CCCTAAACCCTAAACCGTAAAACTCTGCTCTCCCTTCTTGCGCGCTCAAAGCAAATATGAGCTGCAAAAGTCCGCAAGTCACGCAATGAAGCCAACAACCCTCAACCCCGCAAACACCTCCACTGTCGCAAAACTATCAGAAAATACAAGAACCTTCAACACCCTCGAAAAGCCTCAGCAGTCGCAAGAAGCCTGAACATCCGTCGATCCCCAGAGTGCACGTACAGAACCTTGAGGTTTCCTGCTATGAGCCCTCTCACAAACCCGAAAGCCTTGGCCGTTTACCTGATCGGCTTGGTGATTGCCAGCTCGAGTCCATCGCTGCCTGTGTTCAGTTTCTTTCGGTTTTGACAACGCCCGTCGAAGCACATGAGTAAGTACGCACAGGCTGCAGGGCTGATGGCTTAGCGATTCAGATAGAGTTTGGGATGTCGGGGTTTAAGGCTCACGAAGTGTTGCAGTCTTCCAAACATGAAGGGTGGTTCATTTTGGGAGGGCAGGTCTTGTAGCTTTGAGAACAAGTTGGAATTTAGGTTTTAGTGGCTCGGCATTAAGGTTGGTTTAGGGTTTAGGGTTTAATGGGTGTGTTTTTCGAGGATTTTGGGTTTCGAGTTTCGGTGTTGGTGTTCAGGAACGGTTCAGGGTTCCAAGTCTGTGAAGCCGAAGCGCCGACACTTGCCTTGCCTGGGTGCGTGGCACATCGGCAAACCGTTCACCTTGAAGTGTCGGGGGAGACCGGGTTGAACCCAAAGGTTCAGGAAAGTTCGGATGCAGGTCTGTCTCAGGCAGTGAGCTTTTAGGAGCTCGGGTTCAGGAATTGTTTGCGATCACAATAAACACTTCTCAAACCTTCGAGTTCTCAGAATATTCCTCAACTGCGTAAGGAGTGTAAAGCTGTGTTGGGGATTAAAGCTGTCAGGTTTCAGGCTTCAGAGGAGAAGTAGCAAAGATTGCTTCGTGCGGAACATGCCACTTTGCCATCTGCCTTCTTCGCGGCAAGAGCAGTCTTACTCGCCAAGTGGTTCAGATCTGCGCTCAAAACGCTGGCATCTCAACCACCACTCGACTGTCCCCATGGCACCACTGAGCCATCCCCTTGTCCCTGCGGCGACGGCTTACCAGCTATGGGTAACATCACCACATTATTCAGCTGGGCTGTCAGTGCTGCAGTCTCCGTAAGCACTTCCAGGCCGAACGAAGTCTCCGATGCATGAAGTGCCACGAAAAAAATTTAAGCACGAAGAAGCTACTGGTATCTTTCATGGCTCTGCTAACTTCAAGCTGGGCTCGACCAGACGTCCAAAGACAAGTCGACACCGTGAATTCCTGTCACTGCGCAGCATACGCCAAGAGCATGACATGGCCAAAACAAGAGACAAGCACCAAGCACGCTTTTGCTCAATGCGGCAGCTGCAACTGCAAACCTGACACATGAAGCAGACTTTACGATAGTTCGGATTTTGCAAGACCATTTTATTTCTAGGTTTGCCTAGCTTAAACTGATGCACTTGTGATCCGTGATTCGCGACTGCCTTATGGACAGTTGCGTGGCACACTCTGTAGGAACATCATGCAGTATGTGGACTACGTAGCATGGCAGGATCCAAGATTGAACAGAATGGCTCACGTCGAAAGCTTCCCTGTACGATTAACTCAATATCGACGGCGACTACCTTCGGACCCACCATGTCATCCAGGACAGATCGCAGCTATCGTCTTTCACTGCGCAGCGCTGCACAGGACTGACACCTGCAGGACAAAGTTGGACAAATCATGTCCAATCAACACCCGGCTAGAATTTTAATGCCGGGTTCACGTGTCTGCTGTGCCTTCTCACACGCCAGAGCACAGCAAGACTTGTTTATCAGCTAAGGTCTTCGACATGTGTTTGGAACCGAACAAAACCACAGCAAAGTTGCATTCTGTTATTTCCCGACCTTGGCCTGCTAGTCGCGGGCAACCTCAGCTTTGCAGAATTTGGCTTCCAACCAGGCCCAACTCACCCCTCACCCCTCGCAATGAGACAGCAGAGAAGTCAGGTTCCTTCTACACGACCCTATGAACAAGACAATGCACGTAACACGCATACGACACTTACCCCTAAGGAGTTTGAAAGTCTGTTACCTCATGCACGGACAGCATACAAACTTTGTCTGCTGTCCTTGAGCGCCGCACCATTATCATTGCGACCAGACAAGTGCAATCCTTGGAATTGCTTCAGATCCTACAAGTAGCAGCGATGGAAACCGCAGCATATCACCCCTGGATCAAGGTGTCTGGCATCGCGACTGCCCTTGGCAAGTGCGAACTGCACGATGTCCTGTGGGGGATGCGAAGAGATACTGCTCTCCCAATCTTAAACTCGCCACTGTCAACAGGTTGGTTGCACCGCATTGCATCTGGGCCACGAGCAGTCAACACCTCTTTTTCTTGTGGTATCAAACCCCGCCCTCGCTGCAAAGTCCTCTGCCAGTTCGTGGAGAGCCTGCAAACCAGTTCTCGGTGCCTGCCACGCAGGAGGTTGGTTCTGGCGCAGCAACGGTGCCGAAATTCGCAAGTCTGGTTGACTCCAGCGGTTTTGCCAGAGTTCAGCCATAATTTGTGGGATTCATCGCGAGTGATCCGTTTGTCTGCATGACATGGATGTGCTACGTCGGGCCTTCGAAAATAAGTATCAAGGACTCATGCGGGCCAGAACGCACTTCCTCTCCACAAAAGCATACTCGATGCACTCACCAACTTGACAGTCCAGGCAGGTCGGATGCAACTGGATGCAACACAACATTTAGGGATTAAGAAATGTCGTGGCTGGTATGCCTTGGGAAATGCCACCCCGTGCCGCCATGCTAGTTTCCTTTGATTTGGATTAGGTTTGTTTCTGATCTATTTGTGTGTTTTGCATCCACTTCTTTTTGGTTGATCTATCTCCATAGGTTTTTGACATCTGTGCAATTATTAGGAATTTTCGTTTGTTTGTGCGCTTGCTTTTGACTCATAGAATTGTTTTCTTAGTTGTGTTGTCCACGCATTTTGTTTTTTGTTTACACGGTTCCCCCTTTGCTTCAGTTCCCTAGGCTTTTGGTGGAGTTTTCTTGAATCCCTGCTGATGCTGTTTGGGGAGAGTTTGCTTTCATGTTTTTGGGTTTCTGGGACTTGCTTTTGATTTATCTAGTCCCGTTACCTGTTTGAGATATTCTTGCTTTCCTTAGCTTGCTAAGGTATTTATGGCTTTGCTTTTAACTTCCTTAGGGGTTTTGTGTTGGCAAAAAGTCCCTGGAACTTAACAAACCCAAGATTCAAAACTGAATCAACACCTCAATATACCTCAATCGAAACATCGAACAAGTCAACATATCAATTCTGAAGCTGCCCCTCAGCATTTACCAGGAATGCAACTTTTACATCTAGGACACCAACAACAACACAGCAATCAATGTTCAACGTTCGCAGGGCATGTCCAACCTCCAATAGCGCTTCGGGGCTCAGGAAAGCAGCCAGGTCCTCACCAGGTGAGATGAGAAGAGCGCTCGAGAGGATGTGCAAGTGCAGGACTCAAGGGCGTGCCAAATGTCAGGGGTTTGGAGATGGGATCCCGCGCTGCTTCTTCGCAGCAGGCGATCGTGGGCTTGAGCTAGGTACGAGTGCAAAAGGCTCACTGCAACCAACGCCACTCATCCCGTCCTTTCTTGCTTGTATCAACTTGCACAGGTCCTCCAGGTAATGCAGAGCATGTGCAGAATCTCGCTTACCCTCTTCCATGTCTGAAGACCACTTCACACTTCTATACACTGCAAAGCCTCAAGCTAGCTCAAGAACATGAGTTCGCAAGCCCTACCAGGCCCTACAACATGATGAGCTTGCTGTCGAAACTACTGAACTTCTGCGACTGCCTTGCCGAAGCTAGGTGATCTGTTCAAGTTGACTCAGGCCTTCGTACCATATATACGGTATGACGTCGGACACTGCTCACTGTTCAATCGTGATTGAGAGCTTCCGATCGAAGTGACTCGAAGTCTGGTCGACGCAACACGTACAAGCAGTGCGGTGTCCTGCCCGGTCATCACGTCCCAAACGCCATCGGTGGCACACATTAAAATCCCACGGCGGCCACTGGCCGTGGAGCCTGAGAGCTTTGCAAAGAGACTGCCGTGTTCCATCAAGCACCAGGACCGACCTTCTACGCTGTTCAATATGCTAGCTTTGCATAAATGCAAGAAAAGCCAGAACTTGCGCCATCCGAGACCATGTGTATTTCATCCTGCTCGGCTCTGAATGCCAGTGTAAAGGAATCCAGGACATGGACGAGTCTTGTATACTGGGAGCATCTATCAGAGAGTCTTCCTCATGAGCGCTGCCTCAACGTTTAGGGCAAAGACTGGTGTGACTTCAGACCTGTGCTTGAGGTACGAAGGACGAGGTGCGAAGGGTAGCTGGTACTGCTTATCTTGCTTGAGCCTTGAAGTTTCCATGGTGACTGGTAGCATCATGGCGGGATGCATGACGACATGCGTGTGCAGGAAGCTTTGTGCTTAGGCTCTGACCAGCGTCAACCTCCACACTTCGCACCTCACAAGTATCGCAGCCCGTTCTCACCCGTCTTCTCTCCTACGCTGCGCCCTGGATGCCTCAGGCACGATGGAGATTACCCCTGGCTTCACTGTCATTTTTACGTCGAAGTCGCCAAGGGTCCTCCCAAGCACAAAGGGCGAGTACAGGTCTTCGTGATTCGTGCAAAGGCTCCAGGGCATCCCTGTCCTGGAAGGTTCCAAGCCCTCGACTCTTCCGTCTATGACCTGAGGATTCGGATTCGATCTGTTTTCGAGTATTTTGGACATGTTGCACTGTCCCTGTCTATGCCTACCGTTTCCTAGACGTTGCCTGAACTTGCTGGGGATCGTGTGCGACGTCTACTCGCGCCGCGTCTGAGTTGATGGCCGCTCCGCCGACCGCCTCGATTCGCTTCTGCTCTATCGGGCAGCTGGCCTTTCATGTTGCCGCAGGCATCATTCAATACAACATCATAGCGCGTCGTGGCACTTTCCGCGGTTCAAGTTGCAAGGATCGACTTTGTACTGGGATGAGCCTTGTGGTCGCGAGACAGCCACATGAGGACTTCAGCCTGCGTCGGCACAATGCACGGCATCTGAAAAACCCTTCCGCACATTCGGCAAGGAAGCACTTTCAGCGCGTGCGGACCGGCAGGGAGTTGAGCAACCTAAAGAAAACACAGTGCCTTTCAAGCCAAGTGTTGAACAACAGGATGACCGCGGTGCAGGACCGTAAGCAATGCATCCCCTCACAAATTTGACTTCCACACGCCTTGGCTGCGCCACTTGCCGTGGCACTTGCCTCGAACGGCCGAGAAAACTCCCGGAAAGCAGTTCAGGGAAGAATCCCACTCAGCACCCATGGGGAGTCGTCCATGGGTCTTCGTCAACAACAACCGACTACTTGTAGGAGATGGTGGCATGCTTGACCTGTCACATCCCATGATCCATGGCATGGCATGGCCTCCAGCAGCACGAGAGCTGCGCGGCAGTCGCCAAGGTTAGCGCACCAAACCCGGCCTTGGCTCCCCAGCCCAAAAGGTGTAAGTTAACGACGGACTACGTTCGGGGGAGGGTCGGCCGAAGGTCTGTGTCGACTTGTTTTCCAGTGAATCTCTGAGTGTTCGGCCTGCAGCGATCGTGCAGCTGTTGACACACCTTGCGGAAGAATTGAAGCGAAAGCGCGACGCGGCTCGGACGGATGACGACTCCAGTGATGATCGGCACTGCTCCTCATGAAGTACTGCTGACTGCGAGGATCTAAAGTTCCCAAGGTAAGCTGCATACGTGCCAGCAGTTGCATGCTCACGTTTGAGTCGGTCTTCCATCTCAGCCATTGCTTCCAGGTAAGCCTTGCTCCACGAGCTTGCAGTGGGGATGTAGCACTGCTGTAGCATGCCGTCATGATACTGATCACAACTGCACACCAGCTCCTCCAAAACTTGCATGTCCCAGCCTGGCTGATTGAAAGACCATCCTCGCAGGCACAGACTTTCCAGCAGATTCGAGGCTCCATCACACCGCGCAGGTTGTCTTTGCGCGAGAATCCATACTTGTAGTCATCTCTTCTCAGGCTGCGGCACTATGCAAGGTTTTCTTGTCAGAATCTTCATACCAATACCACTACAATGTCCATTCCTACTGCGAATTCTAATGGTTCGTGTTTACTGACATACAAAAGCCGGACCATGCGTCCACCACTGCTGTAGCACTGCAACATCGCAATGCTGCACTTGGCTTCAAGGGCAAGTTCCGCTTCCAGCAGACTTCGGGGGACGATCCAACTCCATTCTTGCGGTGCTGTTGATAATCGAGAACCCACTTGATGTTGATTGCCAGCTATCGGCCGGGTTGTCAGGAAGTCAGGAATCAACGAGAAAGACACGGAAAACAATTGATTTCAGGATTTGCGAATGGACAAGCCTAGTCCCCCGTTGTCCTGTCTACGTTGGGCGGAGGCTTCAAAGACTGGACAAGTAGTGCACGGTGGAAAAGCGCGGAGAACACGCGGACGAAAGGTGGATCCGACCCTCCCTAGCCGGCACCAGCTTTTCCCTGCGCAGCTTGTGGATCAACAACTATTGTGCGGGATGTTACTTAAGTTCCGGCGACTCTCGTGGCGAGCAGACCGGAAGATGACAATATTGATGCTGTTGCATGCTCTCGGTATCAGCTTCTCGCTCCATTTGGCCCAATAGGAATCTTTTATTTACCATCTGCGTCTACTATCACCATGGGCTTGTCGTGTTAGAACATACGCAACAAGCATCATGCAAGGAGGACTTCATAATGATACATTCCTGCGAATGGATTCAATGGCACTGTCTGAGGACGAAGGTGCAAGAAGGTTGCAAATCTCCTACTTGCCCTTCTGCCATTCTATCTGCAACCCGCACATTGTAGAAACCATGTGTGATGATACATGGCAAATGCCAACCATTACATACACGACGCTCACAACTGCCAAGCAACGGCTTTCCGGCCTTCATCCGCCTGCCGACAGCGACTGGAAGCAATTTCGCAACCTGCAGATCACATGGGGCAGTTGCGCCGACTTCTAGTCTGTCAATTCCGGCTTCCGCCTTTTTGCACACGGCTTTGCAAGCCTCTGGAACTAGGCTTGCAGCCAAGTCGGATGCGGAGTCCGTGTCGTGACCGTCTAGGACGCCAACCTCGGCCAGGGCTCTGTGCAGTGCCGGACCAGGGGGTGGCAGGGATCAAGAACATTTTCTGGATGCAGCTCCGTTCTTTCAAGCCTCCGGCTGTGTGAAACGGAATGCGAGAATCGCTCAGGCAGTCGTGAACTGCCATGCATCGATCCTGCTGACAAAAGCGAAGTCTTGAAGGGTTCGTAGAGTCTGCGACCCTAAATCTAAACCCTAACTCGATTTGAGCGAGCAATTCGGGCATGGCAGCCCCTACAGTCCTCCTTCCTCCGACGCTGCCCTTCCCGACAACCTTCCCCCCTCCCCCCGCATGCCCCGGCCGTTGACCTTATTGGATTTGTCTAAAACTGTTCGGACTGAAAGCTGCCATGTCGCGTGATGTTGCGGTGAGGCCGAGGCAGCACGTGCTAGCTTTGTTAATACCATCTACGGATCTACGGCAGGGAAATCGACATGAATTTCTTTCCTCCCTCTTTTTCAAACGCTCATGTTATCTTGAAGTGCAGTGCTAAATAAAGTCCGTCCGACCAGCTGCTTTCTGCCGATGTTTACATTACTGCGCATGCCTGATATCAAGCACAACCACACAGCACAGCTTGCAGCTTGCATGGTCCTCGTTTTCGTGCCTGCCGCCCCAGTTCTTTGCTGTATGCGTTGCCACCTGTGTGCAATCACGAGATTCATGATGTGCCACACCAAGCCAGCATTGAGCGCGGCCTCTACTCTGCATCTTGGAGGCCTATCTTTGTGAACCTGACTTCAACAACGCAGCTGTCCATCTCCGAGAAATTTCCGGCTTCCGAGTGCCTCTAAGAGCTCATGGAGCCCAGACGGACTGGATGCTGGTGAGACCAGAGGAGCTTCTGCCTCGCAAGTTGTGCTGCAAAACTTGCTACGGAGCCTTGTCGGAACCTCTTGCACCTCTAGCTGGGGCTTCAGCTTCTGGCACAGCAGCCGCCTTGACTGCAGCCTGTCGGCGCCCGATAAACCTGCCAAATCCCGTGCAGCCGGAGCACAATCAATGCAAGGACGGGAGATGGCGGCAGCGGTGACGTTTTGGTGTAGGCTGGATGCGGTCATCATGCAGTTCATTGCAGCCAGCACTACATGTCCGCATTGCATGAGATGCAAGCAGGCATCAAGCTGTCCACTCTGTGCCCTGCAAGCACCTGGAAACCATTCGACTCGCCAGACCCTGCTGCGTCGTCACCTGGGTGGGCCACGGGCAAAGATGACCTCAATGATGATCTGTCTGACTACTTCCTGTCACCACGGCCTGCGCGCCATGCACAGCCCCGGAAGAGTCCGGGGCTGGCAGCCGGGCCACAACAATCAATGCACCTTTCAGTGCGACATGGCCATTCGTGCGTGCAGAACCACGTTGAAGCTTCTAACACTCGAGTTGGCAAAGAATCACGAAGCCCTGTCCGATACTGTGCAAGGGCCACGCTTCGTAAGCAGAAGACTCTAAACAAAATGGTTTTCCCATGCTGTCCTTGGAACCTCTGCTAACATCTGCCACGCAGGAGAAGCTCTGAGAGGCGACGTCTTGTCTGGCCTAGGACGATAATAATCCACGTGCACTTGAGCCTCTGACCTTTTCTAGGCAACGGTTCGCACTGACCAACAATCCCATTAAGCCTTATGCAGATCTTATGCAGCTATGTGGCTATGTGGCGGTGTGCGGTTCGAGGCAAGACGTAGTCACTAACATCATAAACAAGAGGATAACATTGCGCATTATTGTGCCCTGTCAGTCAAACAATACTACTCACAAGACAACAGCAAGCAAGGCCCGGCACGCGTGGAGAAGGCGACGTCCCACAATGCAAGCAATCCAGAAATATCTGATTCTGCGAGCCAATATGCAAGCGAGTTTGAAAGCCATGTTATGCAAGCAATCACACCTTTCCTACTTCTCTCTGAATGCATGAATATCATGCAAAAAATGACTGGTAGCTTGCACCCCATGATCCTTGCATACCCAACCAAAAGCATCTTTTTCCACGTTGACACCAGCTTTGGCGGCCCAGGGAAGTCCTTGTGCATGTGCATCTGACGTCTAGTTTTAGATCCTAGTTCAATGCAAAGTGACTGGCAACGATAGACAGCCCCAATACGAAGAGAAGCAGGCGTGCCTACTACCAGGTCCCACCGGTCCCGGCAGTAGATGAAACCTCACAAACAGCTCCAGATTCGAGGACTCAGAAGCTCTGGATGGCCAATCGACCTGGCCACCTTCCATGCTGGGGTGCGCTGAGCCCACGGCTGTACTTCCATAGTCCTGCAAATGCTTCGGAGGGATTTTGGTCACTGCAGCACCGCAAGGCATCCGCCAGCTAGTGGAATCAACTGGACAGGTAGTGAAAGACAAAGACAACTTGCTAGGATGATGCACGATTGATTTGTAAACCACAGAAGAACAGCTCTCATCAAATATCGTTTTGCACAGGCGTTGCGATTCAATCAGGAAACGAGAGCCGCCTGAAGCGTGACGGGACGGTCAAACAAGAAAATCTTGTGGTAGACAGCGGGAGGGAGAAAGAAGGAGACAGATAGAAAGACAGAGACGCAAAGAGACAGACACACACAAACGGACGGACGAAGGACAGACAGATAACTAGGCGGAGACAAACAGACACAAAGACACAGACAGACCTAGGGACACAAACACGAAGACAAGTTCGACACCCGACGAACACACCAAAATACGACGGACCGACCCTTCTGTTTGGAGTCGTTTGAAGCGCATCGCGCCGGGTCCGTCGCCTTCGCCAGAGCAGGGCTGTACGGCGCTGGGGTTTGCATCTCGGCATATCCCGGCCCGTCGCCCACCAGCGAGCGACGACCCATCGGTCTTAAACAGGGAGGACAGGTACCTTTTTTGTTTTAACCTTTGGTTTCATGGGGCCGCCGCCCGCCTTTTCTTTACCTTTTCCGGTCAATGGCATTACGAAGGCGTGGACCGCTTGGACCTCGAATGCCTCACAGTCACTGTCACAGTCACAGTCCTTTTCCGCTCACCTTGTTTTTACCTTTGGGTGAAGCCTCACCTTTTCTTCACCTTTCTTGTACCTTTCCGGCTCTTTGTTTATCGCTTTTTGTTACTTTTTTTAAGCTTTTCTCAAGGACAAGCTCGATTTCCAGGTTGGGGAGGCGGGGGCTGGAAAGGTAAAAA